TTTCTGGAAATGGAGAAGAAGAGTTTTTAATCTTTTCTAAATTTTCCCCTTTTTGGCCCCTAACTCACCCCCTAGGGGGCCACACCCTTATTTCATAAATCTATTGAGCCCCTGGTCCCAAGGACGCTTCATATCAAATTTAGTTAAAATACAATCAGTCGTTCAGGAGATAAAGGCTTTTAAAGGGAAAAGTTGACGACGGACGACGGACGCTGCGGTATGGCATAAGCTCACTTGCCCTTCGGGCAGGTGAGCTAAAAATGTTTCCTGCGAAATATATGCGCATTTATGTTGTCCACATCATACCTGAATATTGAGCGAACATATCAGAAATGTATTGAAAAATATCAAACATCAAGACTCTAGACCTTGTGGAACTTACATGTAAGAAGAAGATTTTAAAAGTGTGTTATCAAATATAGTGCATTTGAACTTTGACCCCTACCGAAAACCAAAAGTTGACCTTTGACACAAAAATGTTTCCTGAGAAAAACATTGTTTGTTAGTCTACAAAACATATCCAAAGGTGACGTCATGGCGGCCATTTTGGTTTTTAAAAAGAAGTAAAAAATGTTACCAAATTAGGTGGGACATCTGGGGAAACTTTTATACCATGGTCAAATGAAATTACCATCATGAACATTGGAGAAAATTAGGTTTTAACAAATTGCCGTTATTTTAAAAAGATCAAAGGAAATATTCAAAATAGCGTAGAATATTAACAGTACATGTTACAGATAAACTGAAGACACCGAAATAAAAAAAAACATAAACTACAAAAAAAACTAAAAAAAAAAATGAAAATCAAAAAAGTTTGAAAATTGGTGACCTTTGACCCAACAGCGAGGATTTTTATTTGACCTTTTTGTATCAACATGTAGTTAGAAAAAGTTAGCCCCTATGATTATCTACCAATGATATATTTGCATGAATGCTGTATAATCAAGGGTTTTAAGTTATGGCCATTTTAAGATTTTGACCTATGACGTCATCGCGGCCATGTTGGAAATTTGACTTACTTGAAAAAGTTGCATGCACATTTTTAGACCTTGGTCTACAGTATACTTGAAAGACTATTAACAAATCTGCTATCAATCGAAAGATTAAATGTTAACAAAATAATGGCAGAAGAATAATAATAACTAGATTTGATCAAGATCAAAACACGGGAGTTCCAACAAGAAAATGATCAAAGATATGTTCTCGGACTGACGATCGCTTTGCTTTTGATTGTAGGTCAAATCGTAGGTGCGCTCGTAAACAAAAATCTTAAGACTTGTCTACTTTTTCGCAGACATATTGCTTTACTACTGGTTCTTTTCCCGCTTCTTCTTCCGATTTTCCTTACAATTTCTTGTCCGGACCGAAACTTTTAAAACCGTTAAAGATATCATGACGAAACTTTAACTACACCTGCAGCACTCAGAGATAATGCGCAATTCACTGTTATTAGTTTTTTTCAGTAACATTTAGTCAGGTCTGTAACTAAATATATCTTAATGAATCTAGTGCAGTATATCTGTATACAGTATATACCCTAAGATGATTGCAGTACACTATCATTAGGGTCTCTGTAACTTTGATCTCAAGGTCAAAGGTCATATGAGTGCAACCTTTTCAGTTGTAACTTTTAAGTTATCGTGACTTTTGATGTCATAACTCTAATGGCATTTAGTCTAAGCTGCACTTTATAAAACAAATGTATTTAAGACGATTTTAGATAGACGGTTATTTGACTTTATTAGCGCATCTTATTTTGCAAAGGAAGGGAAAGAATGTTGGCTAATAACAGGAGACATATTTTTTTGTTCACAAAACAAACCTTTAGTTGTTAATCTGATGGTCCAAGTGTAATGTCTTTTTCATATCTCATATATCCGGCCCCTGTGTCTACACAAGACTGTAAATAAATCATAGAGTTATTCAACCACTTCAGAATGAATACGAATAATAAAACATTCTATTTTTGTGAGAGTGCACACTTGATTAACGCGTTATCACTCAGAAGAGGAAACGCAGATGATTATATCTGGAGTGGCCAGTGCGCCTGACAGTTGGAGGAGTGTACTCCGAGAGAGACCGTTTGGCGATAGTATAGGACTTTAGGCACTATTCTCTGACAAAACACACACTAAACATTCTCAGCTGACCACTTAGTCACGTACAGGGACATGTGATATCTAAATATTGTAGGGAAAATAGATCACAGTAAGGGGGTATCGCAATAGGTAGTGGGAGTTTATTTCAATTGTTACGCTGCGTGTACAAAGAGGGTTATCAATCAAGCCTTTTGAGTAAAGATACCTATTCAGAGAGTTACATTTCATTCTGAGCCACGCATGGTGATTCTGACCATAATTATCTACTTCCACAAAAAGAATTATGATGGAACAATACTAAACTGCCCATATAAATGTTCCTTAAGTTTATGCAATGATGAATCTGCTTTAAGGTTGGGGAGGAAGAACGTTCGAACATGATGTCTAGATGAACGAATTTTGAAGCAAAATAGTACAACAAAAATGGACGACAGTTGTCTACATCTTTGGTTTCTTGAGCATGTACATCAACATTTCTATTTAGGAGGATGTCTTGTTAATAAGGAGGAACCCCTCGAGTGATCTATTTTATGAAATTTGATTATTTTATGGATTTGACCATAGGGACATGAAAATTTGTTTCAGCCATATTTGGACCTGAACAAAATATCAAATGCTTTGCTTATATAACTGAACATCACGAATTTCTTTGCATTTATGTATTGCTTAGGTGATATCATGGACGATCGAAAGAAGCTAATTTTGAGGCGAGTCTCTAGTTCTATAGCAAGATTAATTTGGTGAAAAAAGGGAGTTATCTAGGAGAAAGTTATAAAAATGCTTGAACACACACCATTCCGTATACTAACCCACAGCGGGTGGTCGGTTGGCGCAGTGGATAGCGGACTTGCCTTTCACCAAGGCGGACGGGGTTCGATTCCACGATAGGACGTGAACAGGTACGGGGTCAACTGCCCGACCACATCGGAGTTCGCCGGGTACTCCTGTTTCCTCTCACTTTAAGACCCTCCGCGCCCTAACATCTTGGCCAACAAGAGTGATTAATATAAGCTGAACTAACTTGTTTCGTAATTGTTGTAAAAAATAAAGTTTATATACTGAACAAAAAAAGAAACGCACAATTAAATTATGCAATCAATAGCCTATGATATTTTGGGAAATTTGTACAAAATTTTATATCAATATGAAGGGACAAGTCTACTCTTTACAATACTGTAGAAGAAAAGTCTGTGTGACGTCACTCGTGTCATCAGTAGTTACTCAAAGTGGGATACCCGCGAAAAACAAAATGAAACTTCAGTACCTGGTGTGGGCACCTTTTGCACGAATCCCTGCACGGATTCTCCTATGCATTGAATTCATTAGAACATTTATACGTCTTAAGGGAATGTTGTTCCATTCTTGTGTTAATGCTGCGATCAACTGGGCGCGGTTAGTTGGAGGGTTTTGACGTTTCCTAATACGCATGTCCAGCTCATCCCACAGATGCTCAATAGGAGACATGTCGGGGCTATATGGGGGCCATTCCAGAGGCTGGACGTTGTTTGCCGTGAGAAAATCACGACAGACTCTGGCAACATGCGGTCGAGCATTGTCTTGCTGGAAAATTAGGTTATGACGTCTGAGAAGTGGAAGGACATGTGATTGGAGGATCTGGTCTCTGTATCGAACGGCATTGAGGTTTTGATCCAGAACCACTAAGGGGTTTTTGCTCCATGGGAGATGCCTCCCCAAACCATTACAGAAGCCCCACCGGATCTATCGCGTTCAACCACGCATGCGTCGGCGAAACGCTCACCGCGTCTCCGATATACCCTTTTTCTTCCATCTGAGCGATACAGAAAGAATCTAGACTCGTCGGTGAACATCACATGCTCCGTCGACGCATCCCAAACCTATTTGGGCCATGTCTGTGCATCCAGTCAAGACGCACTTGCCGCCTCCGTGGTGTCAGAGGTGGCCCGACATAAGGTCGGCGCGCAATGATTCTCCCGGCACGCAAACGGTTCCTGGCAGTTTGAGGACTAATGGGTCTGCCATGAGTATCTAAGGTATGCGACGCAGTCTCTACAGCAGACTTGAATCTGTTGCGCAAGTGCGACAATCGAATCGCCCTGTCTTGTCGTGCGGTCGTTACACGGGAACGACCGCTCCTGGGACGATCGGAAACTAACCCAGTAGCACGGAAACGTGTACAGAGACGGTTAATTGTACACGGGCCAACACCAAACTGCCTTAAGACAGCAGTTTGGCTATGACCATCCATCAACATCGCAATTGCTCTACCCCTCTGAACTTGCGTTAAGTGTGGCATCTCAGTCAATGGCGAAATCAAAATGCCAACGTGGAAAATTAATGTGGCTGAACTTAGAGTATCCGTTGAGATTATTTGTGCGTTTCTTTTTTTGTTCAGTATATATCCAAACCTATAGATGAGAAAGAAATATGTCAATAATTTGACATAGACGACTTATTCCCTTTTTTATAAACAGGCGTCACATTTGTCTGTTTCCATATTTTAAGAAATGTAGCAGAGGATAGAGATTCATTAAATATTTTGCTCCAAGGATCACTAATCTTTCAACAGTTGCGCACTTACAAGGCCAGTTCAAACGGCTTTAGAGCAGTCTAGTCTACCAATAATGTCACTTACTTCTGTAGGAGTAATGTTAGTGTCAGCTAGACGCTTGTCACATACGCTAGCTATGTGTAGATGTGAAAAGTGAGTTGTCAACAGTAGCTTGGGAGCATTTTCAAAGTCATCTTCAAACATTGAATTATTCAGGGGTACTAACCTACGTCACAGGCGTAGATCACGGAAACACATTTTGATCGCTTAAGATATCAGTAGCAGACTGATAACGAGACTTGTACATCTATGACGTCATAGTCGACTTTATTGTTCTGACGTCACAAGTAGATGTTGCTATGCACGATCGTCTAATAGCTTTCTGCAACATAGATGTACTAAAAAATATCTCTCAGCAAAACTATGGGTTGTATCAATACTAAACCAAAGAATGAGGACATGAAGAAAAGACAGACACGATGGCAAAAACTCTGTAACAGATTCAGAAGAAAACACAAGGTAACTGATGTAATTTCTGTATAGATTATCTATAATAGGTAGAACTGTTTTTTTACTCTAAGTTAAAAGCAAAGCCCCCGATCGCATATATGTTCTTTATCTTAAGTTTTCCATTAAGTTAAGTTATATTTTCCTTAAGGGGAAGTATAAGTTCAGGAGAAATATTAATACAGAGGTTTCAGAAATCGAAGCCTGGATCGAAGTCTGGCTTTGAACTTCGGGAGTAGGTGATCAGTTTAGTTTAAACATATTTATTGCCAATCATCTCAGTCCGACTCTGGCTGAGATTGAGATAAGTCTGCATGTCAGGTCTATGTGGGATTGAGTTTTAGCTAATGCATGGTGAACCAATTTAACATTAATTTATGGAGCAATGTTGATCTGTAGTACCTAATGTTAAATTGGATTATTTTATATACTGTCCCTGGCTATATACATGTGTGTAAGATATCTTTTTTTTTTAACTATTTCAGGTTCGAAATTTGTACGCATTCGTCTGTTTAAAAGCTAGGTAATCTGGAGGCATGCATCTCTGTTTTGCTTTTGTTTCGGAAGTAGTAAGGCTTGTGGTTTGAATCCTAGCTTTGCCCTCTGTTCCAGAGATCGGAAGGCTGGAGGTTCGAATCAATGTTTTGCTCTCTGTTTCGTTTACAGTTTTATATCGTAGACTAAATCTTGGATTCATTGTTTTGATAGATGTTACACGATCGATTTATAAAGATATTACGTCGATTGCTTTCACTACGAAAAAGAAGAATATTGGTTAACTGGAACGTTATTTATTGGCAGGTTGGACCGTCAAACAACCAAGAGACTACAGGATCAATGGCGGCAGACTCGGGTATGGAAACTGTTCCACTGTCTTTGTTCGAGACCACCGAAACTCGTGTCGTATCCGAGGTAATCAGAGGAAGCCCCCGAGGTGTTCCGGTAGAACAAGGCACACCAATGATAAACATCGCCAGGAAAGCAGAGGACATCATAATGGAACAGCTGAAAGAGGAGGGGATCGTACCTAGAAAGGCCAGAGGGGGAGTTGCCTTCGATATTAGGGATAACGTCTGCAAACCGTCTAAATCGAAAATAGAAACAAATGTTGACATGCTTCAACCAACTCCTGGTGCGCCACAGTATACCAAAGAAGAGTCTGTTTTAATGGCCAAGATCTCTGCGGAGGAAGGCATTTCACATCAGCGTCCCCGACTCCTTCCACCTCTTGCAATTGGTTATACTTCAGAAGAGAAAGAAATAATGGCAGATATTATTAAAAACGAAGAGTTCCAGGCGAAAGGACACATGGCACGTATTTCAAATGAAAGGAGGAAATTAGCAAGAGAAAGACGGGAGAAGAAAGAAAAGGAAAGGAGAGAAAAAGTCGAAGAGAAAATGATGAAATGTTCCGTAAACAAAGATGGCAAGGTAGAAAAGATGAAAATTGATGAAAAATTAGAAAGAGCTAGATTGAAAAGAGAAATAAAGCAACAAGAGCTCAAAGCTAAAGTAGAGAGGAAGATATCAAGAAGCGAGCCAAAACCACAAGCAACTAAGGAAAGGTCCAATTTGAAGCAGGAAAAGGCGAGAGCTAATAGAGAGTTAATGCTGGTGAATCGTAGGGACAAATGGCTGCGGAAGCGGGAGTTACAGGAGGAGGCTAAGAGGCGTCGTGAAACAAGGGAGACAACTATGGGGTAATGGAACTATAGAGACTGTTTCTTCCACATCGTAACGAATAGTAAATCAAAGGAAGGTTTGGATGAGAAAGGATTTGATTCTGGAGGAGGTCAAAAGGACAAATAGTCAGCAGGAGACGCTGTTTAGGTGAAATGCTGCAAAGTTAAAGCCACGATATTTTACATACACCTACTGAAATTTGTCAAGAGATAAAAAGTTTTACCCCGAACATTTCGTCTTTCTCGTTAATTCATTCTTGGTGTCTTACACATGGTCCTAGAAATATGTCATGTTATTGATCTTTTTTTATGTCTTCGCAGTATTATTGGGTATTCAGAGGAAGAGAGCAATACCACACAAAAACACATTAATCATTTAAAATTTTATTAATACTTGTTGAAACTAACAATGTTCAACTCTACACAGAAACTGTTGTCTATACTCACGAACGCCAACTGTACATAGAAACTGAAGTATCCTGACTGACGTGCGCCAAATGTACGCAGAAACTATAGTATCCTGACTGAGTGAGTGACGAGCGCCAAATGTACACAGAAACTATAGTATCCTGACTGACAAGCGCCAACTGTACACAGAAACTATAGTGTCCTGACTGACGAGAGCGCCAACTGTACACAGAACTATAGTACCCAGACTGACGGACGCCCACTGTACACAGAAACTATAGTACCCAGACTGACGGATGCCAACTATACACAGAAACTATAGTACCCAGACTGACGGACGCCCATTGTTCACAGAAATTGTAGTGCCCAGACTGACGGACGCCCTGTACATAGAAACTATAGTGCCCGGATCACATTCTTCTCGCTGACAAATTCCATTAAATGTAGGTGATATTTCACTGAAAAACCAAAAGCTAAGGAAAATAGGAAATATGGAATGGTGACACCTCCCTGAAATTAGAGCTTGGGTGGGAAATCGTGCCGGATGGGCCGTGTCATTTATATATATATATCCTTCAGTTTAGCTTCCTAAATGGCCTATCAACACAGGACCGGTCAGTAGGCGAATACATCTGATAAAGGAAATGACATCAATGAAAAGCGAAAGTCTGGTTTAGGTGCAGATCAGTGCGATTAGATTATACATTTTTGTAAGTTGTTTACTCAAAATTGTACGCGACTCGCTATGCATTGAAGCTTTTTGTTAGCTCTTTATTTCAATGAATACATTTACGATTGCGTAATGTATGAACGGCCTAGGTCGGTGATGGTAACCGATTAAAGGTTTAATCGAGTGTAATTTGATGTCTACACATTTATAATTATGCTTCTTTTATTTTGCCAATATAAATGGCTGTGCAGTCCTTGTTATTTGCGGTTTTCAACCTGAAAAATGAAGTTTAAAATCAGTAAAAGATGGAGATAAACCCGCACACATAGTCCATTTTAAATCCTCAAGAATGTTTCCTTCTAGTGTCATCTTTTTCTGGAGGGGTGACGCTACCTTATTTCCGTCGGACTCCAGTCTTGAAATGATCATACGAATGAAAAATGGCAATAAAAGTATACTCTGAAGGAGACATGTACCTTACCACAGGGAGTTGATAATTTGTTACAGCTGAGACGTGTACATTGCCACAGGGACTTGATAATTTGTTACAGCTGAGATGTGAACATTGCCACAGGGACCTGATAATTTGTTACAGCTGAGACGTGTACATTGCCACAGGGACATGATAATTTGTTACAGCTGAGACGTGTACCTTACCACAGGGACTTGATAATTTGTTACAGCTGAGACGTGTACATTGCCACAGGGACCTGATAATTTGTTACAGCTGAGACGTGTACATTGCCACAGGGACATGATAATTTGTTACAGCTGAGACGTGAACATTACCACAGGGACCTGATAATTTGTTACAGCTGAGACGTGTATATTACCACTGGGACATGAGCATTTGTTACAGCTGAGATGTGGACATTACCACAGGGACCTAAGAATTTGTTACAGCTGAGACGTGAACATTACCCACAGGGACCTGAGAATTTGTTACAGCTGAGATGTGAACATTACCCACAGGGACCTGAGAATTTGTTACAGCTGAGATGTGTACATTACCACAGGGACCTGAGAATTTGTTACAGCTGAGACGTGAATATTACCCACAGGGAACTGGGAATTTGTCTGGACCTCACCTAAGTTATTAAGACTACTTTTATACGTTTTTGGGGTTTAGATTAACTTTCGATGAAAATGCCACCTCCAAGTTATGTTTACTTTCTTACATCAAAACCCACATTATTTGTGGGTGTACTAAAAGTACCGTTGGAAACATGGATATTTTTTCTTTTAGAAAGTTCAGGTATGCACGTAAAATACTTTACATACAACTCTTTATAACTGCTTTCCTGAAAGCCAGAAGAGGCCGCTATTTTGATACAGCTAAGATACTAACTGGTAAGTAAGTACTGGTCAATGACCATATGTTACTATTGAGTACCGCTGTGTAGATTCCTGGCTAATTACCTGATTGATAGCTTTACGATTGCGAAAAGCATACTCTAAATCATTCACCCCTGAAGACACATTTGAACTCCTCCAATTTAAATATTGAAATAGTTCATTATGACAATTCAGGGTGAATTGTCCACCACACACACAACCATCGCACACACTCTCCTCTCACCTAGCCAAAGCACGAGACTTACTACACAAACGGTAACACAATACTACTTGTACAATATACATGTATTTTATGGAAATCCATTGATGTATCTTGGTTTAAAAAAATCCAAATATTATTAAGTATTTTATCATAACTGGACAATATTGAGAAGGTCATTTTCAGTAGCAGATGATTATAAGCCATGGGTCTGTTAAAAGTGTCTTGCTTAGTCTTTATAATAATAATTTTGGTTAATATTAATATAATTATTCAGTGTCACTTTCATTAATTTCACATTAATTATCACAACGGGTTTAATACAGGTTTGTACAAGTTACATGTGAAATAAAGATACAGTTATAAGATATATTTACATAGTAAATCTTACATGGACTGTTATAATTAATTTATGCAGATTAAACAAATGATGAATACATTGAATGAACATTTACAGAAAGTGCCATACATAACACCATGCCTACCATACACTAATGATCTGAAACATGACTCTATGTAGACTTAGCGTCTATAGTCCTAACGGATTGCACTCAGAATGCTTTTTATGTGACTTTTAGACTTTTAGTCTACACAACTTTATCACGTATTGATATTACGTCTTTTCGTATTGCAGAGTTATATGCTCTTGTGAGCAGGTATTGATTGCTACGTCATTTGTTTGTGAGAGTAACGACATAGTTTTTGGGAAAACGACGTAATTTTCTCACACAAACTAATGACGTAACAATCTATACCTGCTCACAAGAACAGATAACTCTGCAATACGAAAAGACGCAATACGCCAAACTTCCTATATGTATTGTTATATAACCTGTGGTATGATTGTGACGTCACCTTTGATTGTATAGTACGAAGACAACGGGATAGTTCGATTTTTAAAAGTTACACTTCAGAAGTAAAACTTGACGGACTTGCAAATACAAATGCAGACCTGAAAAGACTTTGCCAAGATCTAGACTAGCCAAAAACTAGATTTAATCACTAGACCCGTCTATATTTAATAACGAATTCACAAAATGGTCCAACCGTTTTGATCTCGTTAAACGAAAGTACGTTTTTCGGAAATAACTTACTCTACAGTACTTTTGTAAGTGTGTTTATTGTAAAATTACATACCTGTATTTGTTATATTGATTACGTATATCATTCATGGATTGCTTATAAGCATTGGTTATTAATAAAATCAACAACTGTTTGTGCTATGTCCAACAGCATTTCATACCAAAATTATGGACCTGCATTACTCGAATACTAGGATAAGTTTTCCCACGACCCCGACGACTTCGAGATAACGAGGTATTTACAAGTTTACCAAAACCGCAAAACAAGTTTTAAAAAACATAGATAAAATGTTCTCTAACTTTATATTGAACAGTAAGAATAATAGAATTGCAAAAAATCAAATTATGAAGACATGAAGAAGGAGGTCTTAAGATGGTTAATATAAAATACTTTATAAAAATCAACGAAACTGACATGGATCCAAAGATTCTTAAAATCAAATGGAGCATGGACTTACACATTTGAAAACATAATTGGTGAACATAAAAACACTAGTTAATTATGGAAAAGTACTTATAAAAAAAAAAGCGAATTCAATAAAAAAAAAAAAAACTTTTCTGGAAAGAAGTACTAATTGACTTATATGAATTTGCTAGTACAATATATGATGAAGATAATACCAACAACTATGGTTTAACGACAAAACTAAAATTGATAATAAACCAGCTGATTTCAAACAATGGGCAAAAAAGGTATTATGTTTGTACCCGACCTAATAAACAAACGGGGTGAAATAATTCACTCTTACGAACACTTTTGTGAAAAATATGAGTTCCGTCCCCAAATAACCAGTATGTTCTATGGTTAACGCAATGCAATTACAGATTTATGTAATAAAACACAAAACAGGCATCATAATACCGCATTGTCCAAGATACATCTACTAAATAATAACATACATAGAGGTCAGTCAATATATAGTGTATTGGTCAAAGAATTGAACGTGAACAACACATATAAAACAAAATGGTCCGAAGAATTAGATTTAGCGGTAGATGACATTTGGTGGAAAAAATTTAATGTAATCTCTTTCAAATATTAAACGTTAAATTGCATAAATATCTTCATATGATAAAGATAAAAGATGCTCTGTAAATTGTGTAATAGATGTGTAGAACTATACTACTCATGTTTGTGAATGTAGAATAGCGGACAACTACTGGAATGAAATTAAATAGTGGTTACAAACAAAAACAAACAAAAACAAATCTCTGCCTAATATAAGTATTTATTTATTTAA